TTTAAATCTTTTTACATTGTATAACTTTGTAAAACTTATGCGCCGGTGCCAGTACAGTACACCACCAATTTTAGTAACATTGATGTAGACCGTTTAGTTTAAGTTTTCTTTTATGTCAATTTTAAAAATTACTTGTTTGGTTTGATCTAGGTCTCAAATGGCTTTGCCTGCAGATGGTGAAGTGGCTCATGTTGGTGAAGGGATCAATTTCTACCTAAGGCTAGGTGCACTGGGTATGTATGTAGGTCAAATGTATTAGCTGTGTAAGAATTAGTGGCATTCATTGCCCATCTATTTAACTTACCACACCATGGATAAATAGTTTTGCTATCTATATAAAACTTACCACACCACAGGGAGAAAAAAATTCTCAGTAAAAAGTTTACTAAAAAAAAATATTACAAATTTATTTAAAACACTTAATTTTATTTTATGGAATGGATCTGAGCAGAATTGAAAATACTTTACATATTTTAATATAATAACAAGAGCTGTATTTTTTAAATTCCATCTCTAGCTTTCTCCATTGGTAGTGTGACTTTAGACGGCTTCCACATCGCCTCTTACTTTGAGACAGAAAACACAACAACCTGCGAGAGTTACATCTTCACCGTGGTCTACGTCCTACACCTCATCTTTACTTTCATTCAAACTTTCTTCCTCTTCAAGAACCACAAGGTCAGTTTAGCTACCTTGAAGGTATAATTTAGTTACCTTGTAAAGGTTTATTTCAACAGTGTGGGAGTTTTAGGTAATGGAGAAATTGTTGGTGTAAATTGTTTGATGGTATACAAACAATTGTTTAAAAACTGGAATACTCTGATACTGATTATTTGGATTTTTGGATGTTTGCTTTTGTTGGACTTTTGAACACAGCAATGAAATCTACCAGTAAAGGAAGCATCTTCAAAGGGGTATTTTGATTCAGAACAAGGAAAGGGCAAAGACTGTTACAAAAAACTGAAGTTGGGGATCAAATTATTTGTTAAAAAACTGGATTTTTATTTATTTAACATGTTTAATGCGTACAATATATCATAATAAGTTTACATAACATTGAGATAATCAAGCTGATGTAAGGGCATACAGTCTGATTGTTTTAGAAAATGGCCACTACTTGATTTCCCAGTTATCTCCCATAGCAAGTTTCACCTGAGTAGAGGTTACTGTAAAGAACTGACCCCAAAAATGTTCTTTCCAAAGACAGCTCATCCTCATTGAAAAGAACTCTATCTCCAGGGTAGGATTACGAAAATAATTGAACTTTTTAATGAATGATTCAAATGTTTTGGGTTAAATTTGTAACACAATATAATTGATTTTCAGCTTGTGATTGACAAGAACAAGGCGTCGGTTAGATTTGGTTTGATGCACCTCCTGGCCACCAACCTGGCAATATGGTTTGTTACTGCCATTACTGAAACTGCTGAGGACTTTAAACAACAAAGCTACTTTGCTATTCGCAATGGTATGTCTGAATGTCAGATTATAGCTTGTGATAATTCAATAACTTTAAATGCAAGATAGTGGAATATAGATTTTGGAAGTCAAGAAAATTCAAATGAAAACCGTGGTGTGTATTCTGTCTTTTAGCATTTCATTTTTAGAAAAAGAGATGGGTAAGAGACCACTTCTTAAGAGAACTCTTGAAACAGAGAAAAACTTTTTAACATGGGAAAGAACTCTTGATAAGGTCGTTAATGATTAGAAGGTAAGTTAGAACTCTTGATAGACTGTTGTCGTAGAGAAAGAACGCTTGATAGCTGGAAAAATGTCTGTGATGGAAGTGAGAGATGTATTTCAAGCCCCTGAAAACTCAAAAAGGCTACAATTTAAATTTTAAAAAAAAATGTTTTGTAGCAGTGCTTCTTAGAAATTTCATCATAGAAAAATATGGTGCCAAAAATAATGGTAACCACCACACTATCTTAATGTCTTTAAATGCCATTTTATTTAATAAGTGGATTGAAGTTTTAATTCAGAAGCCTAATGCATCTTTATTTTTTCTATATTTCTTTAAAATTATTTAAATCTTTGACTTTCTAATTGCAATTTTGTTGCATTTGTTTAACTTGAATTTTTCAATGAAATACAACTCTTTACTTTATATACAGTTAGCCTCACCAAAATCAGATTTGTTAAATCTTAATTTTTAAATATTTTTTTTGTGTATCTCCTTTCATCAGAAAATACTAGTCTGGAGGGCCCCAACAAAAGCTGCTATGAAGATGTCACATTGGCCAGGACTGCCTCCCCTTATCTGTTTCCTTGCACAATAATATACAGGTAGTTTTACAAACGAGAATTTCTATAGAGATTTCTAGTTTAATTTTCTATGCAAATTCTACCATCATGTGAAAACAATAAGTTCAACACAGTAATTTGAACACAATAAGTTGAACACTCAATAAGTTGAACACAATAAGTTGAACACCCAGTATATTTCCCTGAAGATTTTCATCATTTCTAAAACAGTGACTACTCAGAAATCACTTTGGGCCATTCATATGTTTTCATAGTTTAACATCATAAAAGTATTTCTATAACTTCTGAATTATCAAGAAATCTACTCTAGAAAGGTCTTGACATAGCACAAATCTTATTCAACAAAGGAAATTATAACTTTAGTTATGAAGATGTAAGCGCTTATAACTCATCACTTTTGAGGTAACACAATAATTATGTTGACATATTGAAGTGTCATTTTTAAAAATCTTGTTTCTATGATAATTATAATTATAGATTTATCGGACACATTTCTTTATGGAGAAAATTTCACAGTTTTAAAAAGAATTATATCTTTGATAACAGGGTAGATAACAAAATAAGTTGTAAATTATGTTCTTATCAAATTTCTCAACTGAATCTAGTTCTTCTACAGACCCATACATTTTTTCCAAACGCAATTGTTTTCCAGTCATTATCTTTTTGTTGTAAATTTCAGCATCATTGCTGCCGGCATCATCTACCGCATGTATCAGTATGTTGGTGTTAAGGTCACTCAGCGCTGGCCAAGTCACACCTCCCTGACATCCAGCGTTCCACATGGGGCTGTTGGGATGGACTGTGAAAAAGCCAACAAGGGATTGTTCACCGGGTTACTGGTCGCTGTTGTCACTCTCATTGCCATTGCAACTTTCTTTGTCTTTGAGAGTCGTCTTAACCATCCTCATACTGCCATAAAGGTACACTAATTCCTAGTTTAATTTGATGTTTGCCGATTGACTTGCCATGACCGTATCGGTTTGTTTGTGCTTATTGGAGCCATCATTTATCCAACCAACAAAGTATTTACTTGTTGCTTAGAGTGAGGATGAGATGGATTGATGTATACAAACAAAATTAAATTCACAGAATGAAAAATATTTTTAATTATTTAAAATTCAAGCACAGAATATTATTTACAATGAACATTTAAAAAAAAAATTTTTTGATAGAAAGCTTTGTAACTTTTAGAAATTTGTTTAAAATATCTTAATTAACGGGACAAAAAGTGATAAATTGCTGTTTACTTAGAAATTAATCTTATTTTTAAAACTCTCTTATTCATGTTAGATTTTTTTGGTGATGGAGATCTCCCTCATCATCATCACCGGCAGCTGCATTTTGTTTGGGATGCTCCGCTTTGTGCAGCTCAAGTTTTTAGAGAATTATCTGTCCTTGGATGCAGTCCTCCTGGTGATCTCCCTTGGTGGCGCCTACATCTACCTGAGTTTCATGCTAATCTCATCAGCTTCCATGGTGGAACAACATGGTGTCGTCAGCATTTTGTCTTTGGCTGTCATTTGTGTTGGCATTTTGGAATCCACATTACAGGTGAGTATTGGCTTTGCAATCCGATTGAATTTTTATTCAACATAATGTGGAAAGGCTATTAGAGTGTCCCACTGATCCCTGCTGGACAATGATGGATGGGGAATCCGTACAAACAAAGAGATATATTAATAGTATGAAGACCCACCCATAGTAGACACAAATTTAAAAAGATAGACTTTGCTGAAAGGATGGCAGACTGTAGTGCTGCAACAGCGATCTTCAGGCAGAAGCCTAGGGGCAGACAGTTGACCAAGACAGATTGACAATGTAGAAAAGGACTTACACCAGCAGGGGGTTGAACATGGAGGCAGAAAACCATGGATCTATCCAAATAAAAGGATGTGGTGGAGCAGGCCAGGGCCCTAACTGGGTTGTAGTGCCACTGGTGATGATGTCTGAATTGAATGAAGGATTGTGATGGTGCAGGCCAGGGCCCTAACTGGGCTGTAGTGCCACTGGTGATGATGTCTGAATTGAATGAAGGATGTGATGGTGCAGGCCAGGGCCCTAACTGGGCTGTAGTGCCACTGGTGATGATGTCTGAATTGAATGAAGGATGTGATGGTGCAGGGCTGTAGTCCCACTGACGATGATGACTGATCCTTACTCTTTTTAGGAAAAAAAATTTAAAATTGGAAAAAACAAACCTAGAATTTGAAAAGAGAATATTTTTTTAAAGACACCTAAATTTACCAAAGATGTAGCCATCATCAGGGGCATGAGAAAATGGCCATCATTAGGGGCATGAGAAAATGGCCATCATTAGGGGCATGAGAAAATAGCCATCATTAGGCGCATGAGAAAATAGCCATCATTAGGGGCATGAGAAAATAGCAGATATTTTTGTGTCAAGAAAAATTTCTCTTCTTATAAAATAGCTTCAATTGGAAGCATCTGCAGTTATAGTTATACCTCCAAACTTGCTAAAACACGGCTTACAACCATTGATGGTAAACAATGTTCAAATATAACCTTTAAATGATATAAGAAGTTCTGTTTGTCTTTATTATACCTAGGATATAGACGATATCATTTCTGCTTTAATGTAGGTATATATTTTTTACAAATGTTACTAAGTTTTATATTATCTTCAAAAATAGGCAATTTTTATCCTTGATGGACTCTGTCGTAGAGCAGAGAATGACAGCCAAGTAGAAAGAAAACCTGGCAGAGCCGTTGTCACCTTCTTGCTGGTCTGCAACCTGGCACTTTGGGTGGTCAGCATGTTTGAGATCAAAAAGACCATGGTGGTGCCCTTCCACCTGGAGTTCTATGGCATTCTGCCCTGGAACATCATGCTCCACCTGTGTGTCCCTCTCTTCATCTACTTCCGTTTCCACTCGGCCATCTGTTTGTCCAAGATTTGGTACCACGCCTATCAGAAAGAACGTAACCCATGACTTGGAAGCAGCTACGGCAGAAGAGATGGGTGGTTGCCTTTTATGGAGTAGCAGATTGGAAAATTAATATGTTAACTAAAAGAGATTTTTTTTTTTAAATTTGAATCTCCACAAAAAGAGGAAAAATAATCTTATTTATTAAAATCTTTTAATTTTACAATTATGTTTTAGATTTAATAAAAAAATTAGTTATTTTAGTTGTGAATCAGAATTTTCTAAAAAGCAAAGATTATTTTGAAGACCCCAAGATATATTTTAGAAAAATTTTTTAGTACAAAATTATGTACTCTGCAGGACATTTTTGATCCACATTTTTAAACGGTGTTAAAATTAAGAATTGGACATCCTGAAGTCAGTGTCTCATTTAAATGACTTTTGTATCAGTTAATGAGCTGAAATGATGGAGTTCACATTAGTATTTTTTTTAACTAGAGTCAGACTTTAGGCTGCCTAAGGAGAGTGAATGCAATGGGTGTATGTTTTCAATCCATTGCTTGAATGGTGTTCATATGATCTCTGGAAGGCAGCAGGATTATATCTTCACATATTTTTTTTATACTGATTTCAAATAATTGACCATAGCTATTTTTCCACATTATCCTTTTATAAATCTGATAAGTAGAAAAAGTTAAATTTGTTTGAATGATCATTTCTGCTCTGAGTATTAAATGTACCCTCAGATTTGATTCCTTAAAAGCAAAATTAACAACTTCAGAAAAGATTATTTCAAGTAATTTCAAGAAAAAATAAAAAAGCAATATATTTATATCTTAAAAGTTTCAAGATTAATTTTAGACTAGCTGTACCTTTTGAACTAGGAAAGGATGGTTAGACCAGCTGTACCGTGTGAACTTGTAAACAATGTTGCATTCAACAAGTTTTTCCTAAGAATTCTTTTCATCATGTTAGTAACCAGAAATTGTAACAACTGTAAATAAAATTTGAAAAAAGCATGTCTCAAATGTTTTTATGACAAATATGTTTAAACAAAACAACACCTTTTTTTCAAATGTATTAACTTCTTTTGTTTACGGTACCATGAAATATAATTTGGAGGAAACACACAGATAAAACTTTCCTTTAAAGAAAACATAATGTTGTTAATAAAACAATTCATAAAAAATGCCAGCGCAGCTGCAAGACAAGTGCATTTCATTACATTTCTATACAATGTGAAAAATGGTGTTTGGAGTGTTAACATGTCAATTACTTTTATTCTCGTCTTTTCTTAATATAAAATGTGCATTTTTATGATGATTTTTCTGAATGATATTATGACCTACATGACAAGTTATTATGAAATGTCTCCCCTGGTTATTGAATGAAAATTCAGTGCTAAACAGGCCTTTGTGCAATTTTTTAATAATTTCTTAGAAAAGCTTTATATTATATAAATTAGATGAGGTTGGCTTCAAAATTGAATGTTTCTCAAGAGATGTCTGTAGAAGTTTTTTTTAAATTTTCATTTTGGTTAAAACAAATTAATTATATTTCTTCTTCCAATTCCAATGTTTTAACCAGAGAATGCATATCTTTAACTCTGTACGCTGCTTAAAAGACATTCAGTCCTACTCACCATCTAGTGCTATGGACAACAGCCAGTGAATGCCACTTGGCATTTTGTCAGGACAAATCCAGCTCCTGTTCAGAAAGCTGTTAAATTTTAACACTCATCCATTAAGCTGAACAGTGCAGACATTAATTTTAGCACTCATCCATAAAGGTGAACACTGCAGAAATTACTTTTAGAAATTCTGATCTTGACTTAGGTGTTAAGTTGTTTTTTTTCTGCAGCGAACTTCAGATGAATGTCAGATGAAATAAACATTCATATAACAAAACTAATGGAGAAAATATTTTTTTAATTCTGTTTGAAAAAAGGACATTTTGGGATTTGTAACAAATATTAAAAAGGTTGTTTTTTTAAATGAAAATATTATTTTTAATTATATTGAACATTTTAAGAGCAATCCTTTTATTTAACTAGCCAGCCTCACCAAATTGATGAAAAAAATAATTATATTTTTTATAGAGCTTTTCCAATCATTTAATATATTTATCCCATTTTTATTCATTTCATTTTTTTGTATCTACATGTACTTATGCCTTTCATAGTCGGTAAAGCCTTGTGAAAACGTCAGGTTTTTAAAAAATGAGATCGAATAATTAAAAGTTACCTTCGAGCCATATATAAATTTATATATTTACTGTAAAAAGATAGAATAAAATAAAAGATATTCAGTGTTAACATCGAACCGGACAAAATTTATATTTTAATGTGAACACTGTAAATTGTTTAGACTAAAAATGGTGCTAAGCTTCTCCTTTATTGGTGTATTTTAAACTTTATTATAAATTGTAATTTAATAACATTTTTTATAACAGTACAACAGCCTAAACTTGATCTGAAAAAAATTAAATTTGTATTCACATTGATATATTTTATAAAAAACCCATTGATTCTTCATTAATAAACTTTCAATGTTATTCTACGTAATTATGCACTCAATTGAATCAGCTTAACAATAAAAATGGGTGTTTTCCCAGGAAATATGGCCATACATCTTTATTTAAGGGCTGAAGACAATGAAATTTGTTATTTGACAATTTACACTCAGCATGTATATATTTGTATATTGATCAGCTATTATTTATACCAGTATATCTGAGAAATTCAGGCCTTGATTTTTGTGTCATTTTGAAACAACTGCATTTTGTTTTGTTGTTTTTTTGGTGGCTTTTTTAAACATGTTTCCCTTTGTGCATTTGCTAAACCTTCTAGTCTGGAACCTCTTAATATAAACTTCTTTTTTTTTTATTACATATACAAAGAACTAGAAGCTATTGTTTTAGAACTTATCTGAAATTTTGATACTGTGTCACATCAGTCGATAAAACGCTTTTCAGCTGCCCTTAACCACACGCTGAAGTGAATGTTATTGAAATGCTGCCACTGACACCCGTATTTATCATACTGTTGTTTTATTAAAATTGATTCATAAATTTCATGTATGTCATCACAATGCCATCCATCATCACAATGCCATTGTTAACTTCAAACCTTTTAATTTTCACAAAAAAAAACTGGGACAAAAAAAATCATATTCAACATTAAAGAGAAGTGAAATTTTTTTTATTTGTAAACATTTTAAATACAATTATTATGTAAGTCATCAAAGGGTTAATAAATTTCATTAAACTGACAACATATTGGAAGAAGGATTATTCTGCAAGAGCTTTGCAAATAATGGGCGGAACTCTTAACCAACAAAAATCTTACAGACATGATGAGCCGGACTGATGGGTATAAAGGGGAGGAGATCAGAGCCAAATTATAAGTAAAATCACAGACCCCTTAAATTTTCTAGAAATTTGTCATCTCACCCCCCCCCCCCCCTCACAATCTTCATAGGAAATCTTTTTCAATGTCACTACCAAATATAATTCCCTCTATTACTTATTTAAGTCAGTATTTAAAAAATTGATTAAGTGAACTCCATCAGAAAAGCTCAAAATTCTAAGGTATCAAAAATATTTGACAGACCAAGAGAAACCAAAGAAGAATCATATATTTCACAAATACCCTTGTTCCTATGTGCATGATGTCCATTTAGCTTAGCACAAAAATATTACATTTATTGTTGTAAGACAAAAAACTCAAATTTTGACCAATATTTTTTTACCTTATACCAAGTATTTTTTTTATATTACATTATGACTCACGATATATATGTATACTTTGTATCCATATGTTAGGGCAGATATAACCAGTTTACAAGAAATGGCTCCTCAGCGTATTATTGTTTTTATAAAATCGTTTTTTGCATATTTACTTTTTGGTTTGTAAATATTTTGATACATATGTCCATTGACTTTTTAAAAACGTTAATCATTTAAATTAATTCTTACAATGGTTTGTTTCTTGTTTGGTGTTACTTTTAGTGCAACAAATTTTTAGTGATTTTTTTTTTAAAGTGCATTTTGAGTGTTAGATCAAGGATATTTGCACATAAAATTTTTTCGGTTTGTCTTGTGTTTGAAAGTATGTAGTGATTTATTTTTTTCTTCTTCTATAATGAAATAAAAGTGCATTTGAAAAGTGTATTTTTATCTTCATTCATTTTGTAAAATTTTCACATTCTCACATCTTTGAAAAAGTAATTCTGTACTTCAAAATTTGATTAAATGTTATTTCTGATCATTGTGCTGAACTAAATGGATGTCTGTGGATGATAACATATACCAATAACACAGATAATTTGAGCACATTAAATAATTTCTGACAATCTTAAAATTTGATAATGCATGATAAATTCAAAAACGTCGAAATCCCATAAACACCAACAAAAAAATCAGTGCTATATTAACATTAACAAAAAAAGTTTGAATCTCTGATAATAAATTTAAAACAATCTTTCCTATATGCTACGTTTTTAATGCCACATTAATACTTATTCTTCCTCTCTATTAAAGAGTGAAAAGGACACCAAAAATTACAATGTAATCAATGTGATTTCTTTTTCATTCTAAAAATTAATTAAAACAAAAACAACAACAACTTATTTATTAACTATTATATTATGAAAAATTGTAATGTCAATAAAAAAATGTTTTTATATAAATAATATAGCCTAAAGGAGCGAATCTTACTCTCTGGAAAAAAGTTACAATCCAGTCGGGGTTATTAGGATTGAAATGGGTAAAAGACTTTGACTTGGTATGCTTGCAATTAGTTTTTGTAGTGTTGCGTTTGTTCTTAATGTGGTAAATTATTATTATTTTTTTTACTTTATACGGCGCTTCGAGCCTTTGGGGATGAGGCGTGTTTTTTAAATAAACTTTAATATTATTATTGTTATTATTATTAAAACAATCTTACAATAGTTTATAAATAGATGTACTCATACTATTTTTACGTGACATTAAAAGATCTTCATTTCTTCAACAGTTAACATTTGTGAAACAACTGAATACATGATACAAGAAGTCGTTGTCCAATATTTTGATAGCAATGAAAGAAAACCGCTAACAGTCTACAACTGTGCTGCAATTGACATAGGCAAGGTTTGTCTCAATAATTCAGAAACTTTTCTACCTCTCAGCTTTCAATTTGCTGAGCCGCTTATGAAGATTTAAATAATGACAGGAACATTCATTTAGCAACGGCATGAACAAGAAAATGTGTCTTACCACACATATGAGACGACCACCACCAACAGTTGCTCATGAGTTACAACAACAACTTCATCAAGTTGCCCAAACAGTGAAATAATTACTCCTACACCACGCTCGATTGTGGTACACTTTAAAATACAATATTTAAAAGCAACATGGGGGTTAGAACAATTTATGACCTTAATGCTCAGGCACATTGTGTCAACAATAATTGTGCAGAACTCAATTTGGTCATAACAAAGAGCTTGTGGGTGTGAGGACCACTGCATTTAATAATCACAAAACATGTAAAAAATTTATTTGAACATTAAATAATTACCGTTGATGGGTATAAAGTGTAGTAGATTAGGGTAATTACTGATATTAAATAAACCAGTATGTTTGGTCATGAGTTGGGGTGTGACGACTAGTTGGTTGAAGATCAAATATATGTTAGGAGCATGAGGATATTTGGCAGTGCATGGTTTTGATTCTGAGAGTGAACAATTCTCGTGGCGATAGTTTCAAATAGGCAGTCAGTGTGTCAAGAGTCCTCGTAGTGTTAGTGTCAGTGTAGTATCTCCATCTGACGTTTTGTGAACTAGCAGTTGCTGATATATGATCGTGTAAAGAACTTTAGTTATCTACATTGATAATTGTTGCCACTTCTGTCAATATCAAGTGTGGCTAGTCGCTATCAAGTGTGGCTAGTGGCTATCAAGTGTGGCTAGCGATGATACTATATAAATAAATACCATTAAGAATTAGAAGAAAATTATGAATAAAGCTGTTAAATCAATAGCAAGTGTATGGTCTTCTGATGGTCTTTACATTAAATCAAAACTAACAGAATAAGACTAAGATAGAATGCAATCAGAAGAAAATATTTAGAAAACTAAAATTGGAATCAAAATATCTGTCAGGCAGCATAATGAGGAAAACCACTTATCCCGCTTTTCCATCTTTAAACAATTTAGCAATGTTTTTCTTAGACAAACATTTTAATTTTAAAATAATTCAAGCTGAATTTCCTGAGAACAGTTGCATAATAAAAGGGATGCCAATGTCAAGAGTATAACACACACATATATACCTAATGCCCTAACAGGGGTTTTACCAAACATAAAAAGTTCACATACTTAAAATGAATCACTATTATTAATCTCATTTTTAAACTCACCTGAAGATTTCAACAGTTTCTGGTGGAATGACATGGCCAGACGTTGGCCAGACGTTGGCCATAAATAAATTACTAGTGAAAATAATCCCACCTAGGAGATGGGCACCTGGGACACAGACCGTCATCTTATTTCTTGGTTACAACCACAAACTCAATCACATAGCTATAAACAGACAGCTTCAGACATGTCAACAACCACAAAACAAAAGAGCATATTAAGACATGTTAAAACAACCACAAAACAAAAGAGCATATTAAGACATGTTAAAACAACCACAAAACAAAAGAGCATATTAAGACATGTTAAAACAACCACAAAACAAAAGAGCATATTAAGACATGTTAAAACAACCACAAAACAAAAGAGCATATTAAGACATGTTAAAACAACCACAAAACAAAAGAGCATATTAAGACATGTTAAAACAACCACAAAACAAAAGAGCATATTAAGACATGTTAAAACAACCATAAAACAAAAGAGCATATTAAGACATGTTAAAACAACCATAAAACAAAAGAGCATATTAAGACATGTTAAAACAACCATAAAACAAAAGAGCATATTAAGACATGTTAAAACAACCACAAAACAAAAGAGCATATTAAGACATGTTAAAACAACCACAAAACAAAAGAGCATATTAAGACATGTTAAAACAACCATAAAACAAAACATTTTTAGATAGACCAACTGAAGACATGTCATCACCATGAGTCACATGACCTGTACTCAACAACACACAACCAGGATGGATACTTGGCCAGTTTTCTGGTTTGATAGACCCCTCCAAACCAACGTTTTGACCTCAAAGCTCTGTTTTCCTCAGCTTTGGCCCCCTCTCAATTTTCTTTTTGGGCTTTTTAGTTTTCTCTTTGGGATCTTGTTTCTTGAGATTCTCCACCATTGATTGTAACTGAGTAGAACAAAAATAGTAGTGTGATGAAACAGTAGCATGATGAAACAGTAGCGTGATGAAACAGTAGCGTGATGAAACAGTATCATGATAGATGCTGTGGAACTAAAAAAGACTGATGGCAACATAACATCTAGTTTTTTTTTTTTGGATGCAGTTGGGTCAAGGCTATCACATGTAACTCATCAACGCAGTTGGGTCAAGGCTATCAGATACAACTCATCAACGCAGTTGGGTCAAGGCTATCACATATAACTCATCAACACAGTTGGGTCAAGGCTATCACAAATAACTCATCAACGCAGTTGGGTCAAGGCTATCACATTTAACTCGTCAACACTATTGTATCAAGGCTATCACATGTAACTCGTCAACATGTTTCATTCAAGTCTCAACCCGCCATGCTGAACTTAGCGCTCTCTGAAATGGAAATGCTATTCCTAAGCTTGCTCTAGCTTCTTCTTTAGAAAAATTATAAATTATATTAAGGTAAATCTCGTTAAATTCGAATGCTGAATTTCTCACCTTTGTTATAGACTTAAACGGGTTGATGAAATTCTTTTCTTTAGGTATTATATTCACCTCTTGGGCCATCTGAAACAAATGGATAAGTTGTATCATCAACTGTTTCACTCCTTAAATTTGTGATGACATAACCACTAGGCCAATCTGTAACTTTTAATGTTCCTGGAAAGTAAAGGCTTTCCAAATTTAATCAAAATCTTAGTCAGCAGCTGCCTTCTGAATTCAGTTTTGATTTTTTTGATTTTCCATTCAGAATTCAGCTCCTCTCCAAGCACAGCTGCACTGTTGAGACTGACATGTCCATTCCTTCCAGCGTTTTTGCCAAAAACTTGAAAATTCAAATCAGCCACATTTTCTTTTTATTTTCACCTTACACTAACTCTTCAAACACACACACACAAAAGATACAGAGGAAAACAAAATCAAACATCATTGCAGTCTCTCTCAAAGGAAATCTAAGTAGAAGCTGACTAAATGAAGCTTAGTGATGGGATAAGATAAAGAGATAGTGAGATAGATGGAAAGAACTGGGGTGAGCTGGAAACTGTGACTTATGTCAGAGGAGAATGGGAAATGATAATGAATGCACTAGCAGCATCACACTCACAGGCAATCACAGGCTAAGAAGAAAAGAAAAAGTATCACTAATTAAAAGCAAACTCACTATTTTAAGAATTTGCTCAAAATTTCCTTCAAACACACCAGACTGAGTTGAGAATCCATAACACCATGCCAGAAGAACTTGCCACTCCTTTTCTTTATCGTACATGCTGTGGACGATGTCGGGCATGAAGAGAACCAGGTCACCAAACATGGCGGTATTTTCTAGCACCTTTGACATGCCTTAGACAGGAAGTGAATAAATCAACTTATATTATTAAAAAAACTTATATTTAGGTTATTTGACAAAAGTAATTAAAATAATGATCACATACTGTATTGTTCTGAATGTAGACCACACTTTTATCATATTGAATGTTTTTAAATGGGGTGCGGCCTAGAATCTGGACATTAAAACAAATAAATAAAAATACTGGTATCTATGAAAAACATAAATAGGAACAATATGGTATTTAGTCATATCAAATTTTTAAAAAGAAATACATCTGAAAATTTGAAGCATAGATATTTATGTAAATAATGCCAACAGAACAGACATTTTTTACTTTAAATATTTCTTCTGTTACAGTAGGAAAGAGTTACCTTTTAAAATAAATTATTAATATTGAATTCGTTTCTTTTTTCTAATTCTTTTTTTTTTAAAGTTTATATTTTTAAAGAAGCATTAATCAAATATATTCCTATTTTTATCCCAATTTTCTTACTAAGAAAACTATTTCATTTGAGACAGACTCTTTTTTAAATTGGCTACAAAAAACAACAACAAATATATATTTTTAAGAATTATAAATAATGCACTGTAAAGTGTTACACAGTAAGAACTAGCAAGAAAGACATTATTTTTTAAAACCATATTATTTACCACCCCATCTTATTCTATTCCAAGAAAACATAACAATGAAAAGAACATTTAAAGAGTTTCAAATAAAATGTCAGAAGCGATTGAAATTGGTCACTCTAGCCAACAGATGTTCAACTATCATCCAACATGTGTTCTACTATCATATATTTTAATTTCATAATGCAATGAAATAAGATAGGGAAACTCCTACAAATGAGGAATGGTGGCAGAAATGTGTCTAAATTACTAAATCAGCAACTAAAAAGAGTTCAAATAATAATGATTATAATTATAATACTTTCTTTGACTGTCTCATCCACAGGAAAAGGATCCCCAGGTAAATAACCTGCATTAGTCAGGTTTTGTTTGGCCTCACTAAGGACCTGGTTTTTTTAAAGGAAATAAAGATATTAAAGAAAGTTTTTATTTTTTATGAAACATTCATCATCATGATTTATAAAAAAGTAAAGTGGAAAAAAAAAGTAAAGAAACAAAACAATGAAGCTGTAGAACTTAGGATTTGTTTTATAATTGAATGCCAAAAAAAATTGTGGTGATTCAACGAATCAGAGATTGTAGCCCTCTTAAGATGGAACCTTTTTGGACTCAACATTTATGCAAATGAGATATCCTGATTTACATAATTAATGCTTGCAATTTTTTTTTTTACACTTATAATAAACATGTGTTACTTGCAGAATTGTGTAGAATTTCCTGATTGTAAAGCCTAAATAACTCCTAACAAACATTTGAATGAGATTCAATGCACAAAAAAAAAAAAATTAAAAAATGCGTAAAATATTCCCCTGGAGTGTTTATGCTTTTTCAAGCTCACATATTTTTAAGCATTCAGTAGGTACCAAAAAATAATTCCTATAAAATGGCAGAACATGGAAAACTATCAATGGAAGCACCCATTAAAATGTAAATATCAGCAAGCAATGCAAGAAGCAATCTGATTAGCTGGTACACAGACCAGCCAGCCAATCTCAACGCTTGTATTATTGGGCCAATGGATCAATCATTCGTCTTTTTCACCATTTGACTCTGGGCTGATAGATCGGCCCAGTTGTCTAAAGAGGGTAAAATTATATTGATTTTCTTATATTTATATGTATGTCCTCCCCAAATATTGGATTTTAAACAAAACTGTAGAGTAAATGAGTTACGAAGAAACACATTTTATGTCAAAGTCTGAGAGTACCATTTACTAAACAGTATGAACAGGGTTGGGAAGTTGATTTTTTTTGGGGGGGGGGGGGGGGTTGACAAAGCAATCGTCAGTTTTAGAAATAAATTCTAATTTATTATTATTTATGATTATTGGCCTTGACATTGTCACTTACTAAGAACAGCTGCTTAAGCATTATGTTTACAAGTTGGTGTCGTTGTTGGTTGTTTTCAAGCATCGTTATGCTCCTCACGGCATCCAACTGCTTGCTTCGATGGAGAACAAAATAACGTTTATCTAAAATAGCTGTCAAGGCTGCCCAGTCAGTGATAACTAAGGTTTTTAATTTTGTTAAAATGTTTGTATATTATATAATAAAACTTTTTGGTGAGATTATACTAATCAATAGTCATAGTGAAAGGCTTTGTTCAGCTACTTTAATTTGAATAGAACAATATTAAGTTTTTAATAAGGACTGTTACTGTTGACTTAACTTATAGGTAGAGCATGAGAGCTAAACTTGTCCATTAGCCAAAAAGAAGGAGCGTATGTTTGGTAATTGAAGTAATCTATGTTGCACATGGCCATGTGGCCAAGTCTCTAATGGCCATGTCCCTGCCTCTCCTAGTGACAGTGATTTACTAATTCAGTAGAGTTTAGAGGAGGAGCCTAGTTGTAAACTGGCCTGGGTCTAAGTCTAGTTTTAACCTTGTCTAATTTGAATTAAAATTAATATTAATAATAATTAGGACTGGAGCCAATTAATATCTTTCTTCTCCAAGTTGGACCAAGTGGACAAGACTAATTAATAAAAATATGAAAGGCAGAACTGAATTCTAGTTCAATTATTTGACCACTACTAATTTCATATTAGTATTAATATTTTCTATTTACTAATTAATTTTATAATCATTAATCAGGCCTACTCATAATCATGTCAATGTCATAGTAAATGATAATATATCAGATCAGTTTAGTATTATAGTTTGTATTAGTTTTAGTTTTAGTCATTAGCAACTGCTAGGCACAACTACTAATATTATATTTATATGATATGACATAAAATATGGTTTATGAAGATATCTAGTAGGTCCTAAGTCATAATCATAATTAATAAACAAAACTGTTAAGTCTCTTTAGTCTAATACTAGTACTAAGTAGTAGTTAAGTTTAAAGAGTAAAAAATGGTTGAGTAATCCACCATTAAATTAAACTATTAAATAAGTTGCCCTAAGTCAATAGACATAGACTATTATTAATTATAATTATAGATTTTTAGTATGTAGACCTAAGACTTTAAGTTTAAGTTTAACTTAGTTTAAGTTTAAGTTTAAGACTAAGACTAAGAATTGCAATTAGGCCTAAATCAATCAATTTATTAAAATAATTAAAAAGGATACATTGATCTAGGAGCAGAGAATCAGTCTTTGACCTCGTGCCTTCCTTTTCAGATGATCCATCGTCGGATTCCTTTTCACTCGGTGGTATTGATTCCTTCTCAAGAGATGGTAATGAATCTGATTCAGATAGAGGAAGGCTACTTTCGCTTTCCGTATTGACAAGTGCAGGGTCCTCTCCTCCGCATTGTGGACAACCAAGCACGACAAATAATAAACTATTCAATAGTATTGAAAGTTGTAAAACCCTTATTTTGATACAAAATCTGCCAATTAAATTCATTTTCATTTACTACTAACGCTGCTTTATAACCATATGCCGACGTCTTCTCTTGATCATACGTGTCGCTTTCTCGATAAGAATAAGATAGCACACTTAATTTTTAAAAAAAATCCTGACGGCCAGCTGTTACCATTCATTTCCTGTTGGAGGTAGCAGATTATAGAAAATAAACGTAAATTAGGATACGCAGTCTCATAAACATTTTTAAAAATGTCTTTTTCAATAAATTTCAGTCAATTAATATACCAATGTGTTTCAGGGGCATTAATTCAATCTATTACTACATTAATTACATAGAAAACCCCTTTTTAAAAAAAGCTCTCATATATTTTTATGATCTTGGGAAATCTTGGGAAATATTTAAAAAGTGAGTGGCAGCCCTGTGTTGGTCATCACTAAAATAATTTGTCAATCCAGATGACGCTGGTCCCACACACAGACTGTTGAAAATGTGCGGATGCACGCAAAATATTACCGTAACTGAAAAGATAGTTTGGCAGAAAGCACAAGCTACGATATTTTCCCTTCACAATTTGCACGAGTGCCTGTCCCACAATCGTTTTTGTGGAGATATAAACTCAAAAGGTAAATTTGGGCTATCCGCGGCATGATTTTTCTTTCGGCCGCCATCTTGCCTGCCACGACCTGTGAAATTGTTTAAATTTTTCTAATTTAATTTAAAAGTGTTTTGTCTTTAATTTTATATAGGCATATGTGCTGAAAAGAATATGTACAATGTCATAAAAATATTTTCATTATTCCTAATAAATTACTTTCAATGGAACTTAACTCTCAAAAGACTGTAGACCAGGACTAGAGTGTAGACTACTAGTGTAAGTAGTCTACAGTTACAGTGTAGTGTAGATTTTTCCGGTTTTTAAGGACCTTGAATAGGTACATCTTATTCTTCAAATTCAAAGTGTCTCTTGGCTGTAATTTTGTAGCTACCTATAACAGACCTGTTTACTCTTACAATTTTGGCGTACAATGTACGATTTATAGATGTCTTTTACGATTGTACGCCAAGACCCGCCAAAACTACGATTTTCAGAGACCCAGTGGGAAAAAAATATTTCCCCGATTTAAAAAATTAATACATTTTCGGGGTTGGACGTTTTAGCCCTCTCTAACTCTAATAAAGATCTGGCAGTGAATATGAACGAGAAAAACAATTAACGATTGGTTGTTTTTTTTTTTTTAAAGTTGAGACCATCCTTCATTATATTTTGAAAGCACTCATGGGGAATGGGGAGTTGGGCTTGTTGATTACGGAAATTGCGGCATACGAGAACGCATGGGTAGGGGATTGGTGGGAGTGTCAAAGGGTATAAATAAATAACCACTACGTATCGTATTGACAGTATTGATGGTGATTGTCGTATTGCTGCTTTGTGTCACACTGAACTAGCTAGCTGCATCAACTGTAATATTTAGACTTGTCACTTCACTCACCATCGCCTTTGACTGCTACCAAGCGTGTGACGTAGTTTTGTTACGTAATTATTTTGTTCCTCAGAACCACGGCCATTGTGAAAACGGTGAAAAATAGAGATGGTTTTTAAAATAAAATAGATTATCCAACTGTTCTGCAGTGGAGCGTTGGATTCAGGCATATTTTATAAGATCCAGTCAGCGACATTTACAAAATATTTTTATAACTCACAAATCAGCTCTGCGCCTTCAACGATTTTAATACAACAGTTTGGTATCACTACCAGGGTTTCTATCAGCTATATTTCCGGTGGGTACCCCCCCCCCAGCAAAAATATGTCCAACAAATTTTTATAACTCACAAATCAGCTCCGCGCCTTCCACCATTTTAATACAACAGTTTGGTATCACCACCAGGGTTTCTAACAGCTATTTTTCCGGTGGGTACCCCCCCCCCCCAGCAAAAATATGTCCAACAATAAATCAACTGGCAATGCTGGCACTCCCCCCCCCTTAAAATTAAAAAATTAATTTTTTTTTTTCTTAAAGCTTGCAGTACTTAGACTATAGCAGTGGTCGGCAAAGCGTGACTCGCGAACCACATGCGGCTCTATAGCGATCTGAGTGCTGCTTGGTCAGCCGGCCACAAACGGTTTTGACTCCCAAAAATAGGTACTCCAACTCAAATTTTCAGATACATCTGACATACAAAAAGAGTATATCATTGGAAAGAGCTGGCTCTAAGCTTTCCAATGACACCAAGATAATCTTTCTATCACTTATAGGAGAAAAGTTATGAAATGTCCCTAGTATTAAAATTTATTTATTTCATTAATTTAATTCTAGTATTAATACAATATAGGTCTATTAATACACCCTTAAAACTAGTAGTCTTGGTTTATCTAATAATAACAGAGAAAAAAGACATTGTTATTGTTGAAAACCAAGAGGAATTCCTATTGTAGGTACTCCAACTCAAATTTTCAAATGCATCTGACACAGACGTAGAGCATATCATAGGAAAGAGCTGGCTTTAAGCTTTCCAATGACACCAATATAATCTTTCTATCACTTATAGGAGAAAAGTTATGAATTTTTTAGTGATTTATTTTTCCCCACTATTCGGCTTGGTATTCAATTTCAATTTTTAAAACTGATGGCATTATTACTCTTTTTGTACTATTTTGCTTGTATCTTTTTGGCTATTAAAGTTGGAGCTCTCAAATTTGGAGGACACATTTACAATACAATTTTTAACAGAATAAATTGTGAATTAACTTATTATATTTAATTAAATATGACTTTATGAGCATATTGTGTGGATAACGACTCGAAAAATTTATTTGTTAAAAAAATGACATAATTACTAAACCATTAAAGCTATTGCTATAAAATTTTCAATACAAACAGATAGTGTACATCTAAAAGTAAGGTAAATTTAAAATAAATGTAATGCAGATCAGAAAAATGTACCGTATGCATTAGAAAAAATATTTCATGAAAAGTGACAGCGACCGAGACCTTTTTACATTAAGATAGATAACTTTTAAACTAATAATGCTAATGAGCCTAATGCAATAAAATTTTCAGCAATATAGATAATGACAATCGAGGTTAGGTCTTCAAAAAGGTTAATAGAGAGCAGTGGACTGAGTGGAAGATAAATAGGGATGGATAACATTAACAAATAGAGTGGACTGAAAAAAAAAAGACTGTTTTCAATTAAATTACGCAAATTAAAGAAATGTTCCTAGTATTAAAATTTATTTATTTCATTAATTTAATTCTAGTATTAATAGAGGTCTATTAACACACATCCTTATAACTAGTTGCCTTAGTTTATCTAATAATAATAGAGTAATAGAGAATAAATACTGGAGAAAAAAAAAAGGAATTATTACTATTATTGGCAAATTGATCAATTTCTTATTCACAAAGAATAATTGTACAAACAATTAATTTAAACCAAATTATTATTTTTTTGTATACATTTATATTGTTTAATTATATTAGAATAAAAAATATTTGTTCAATCAGATGTTTCAACGATTTAGAAATGTTTTATTTAAACCTTTATTTCCAAATAATTTCACCTCCCTCCGGTCAATAAAATAATGTAAAAAAACATGTGGATTTTTTTTTGTTCGCTCGGTATCATAAATTCTAGCAACAGCCAGTAATGTTAACAATAACTGCTTTCAATGTTACTGCAATCAAGCTAGTTCACGCTCCAATTATTCGTCTGAGACAGGTCAGAATGACGCAGTATTTATACTATTGTGACCGGAATTCTTCAACGAATAGAGTTTAAGATTGAAACTTATTTATTTTTAGAAAATGACGCTTAGGAACGACAAAGCCCGACATATACCAAAACCCGCCCTTCACTGCTGGTCACAGAAATGTACCATGCAAAGCCTGCGGTTTTTTTTGCCCGCGCCGTCCGGTATTGGCGTACCTACCTATTGGAAAATTGTGCAATATCTTATTTACAAAGAATAATTGTACTAACATTTAATTTAAAACAAATTATTTATTTTCATACATTTATATTGTTTAATCATACTAGAATATTGAGAATGTCTCCTGAAAATTTGGTAGCACTATCTTTTAAAATAAAAAAGTTTTGGGCAAAACAAGGCAGAAATTTGGAAAGTGGGTCACACGTTTTTTCAGTTATATACAAAGATAAAGAAGGGTTTTTTTTAAAAATCGCGAAAAAAATCATAGTCCACTTCTATAAAAGATAGAAAGATGAAATTGGTGTTGCTTTTACAAAGCTTGTAGTCGGCACTTTAAAATGATGTATCATTCATGGCAATCGGACAATATTTAAATTTTGTGTCAAAGTACCTACTCTCATGACATGCAATACTAATACTGAAATACAACTTTATTGACAAAAGTCTATTAAAGTCTACTAGTCTTATTTTATTTGGTTCATATTTTAAATTTAGGCTCCAATGTAGAGCTTTACAAGATGTTTAACCAAGACAAGTGACTTTTTTCTTTGAAGAGTCGGAATCAAATAGACTAGTAATAGTAGTAGTAATAGTATTAGTAGGCCTACTAGTACTATTAGTTAGTATATAGGCGGACTAGTTTAATATTCAGAGTCAAACAAAGTATCTCAGAGCATTTGAATATGTCTATTTGAAAATTGTCCAATTTTTGAATTTTTCTTTTTGAAAATTTTCCATTTTATTTTTTTTTTTATTTTCTCTCCCCCCCCCCCCCATCTTGCTCTCTGTTACTTGTGATGTTTCATAATTTCATGTAGTGTCTGTGAGAGCATATATTATAGCAAAAGCTTGACACCAACATGTTGTGGCATTATAGCACAGCATAGAAAATTCAAGCTGACACTACTTATTTAAATAAATGATGCAATTCCTAACAGGCCATCACTTAATTCCATTTTTGTGAATGTTTTATTTATTAATTTAATTTTCTAATTTCAGAGCACTGGCAGTTGAGAGATATGCTGCTATACCAGGAACAGGTACTTCCTCCTATGAGCCTTATGCAAAATATGCTGTAAGTTATAAACATATGGTGGTATATTATGTATTTATTAGGTATTAGGATGGTATAGTTTTAATAATTAAAATACATTTTTCAATGTCGATGATGAGATTTTGAACTCTCTCACTGAGCTCATCTGATGTCACTAGGCTCTGAGACACAATTTGTATTTTATGAACTAGGCCTAACTGGTTTTTATTCATGCTATTTACATGTTTACTTTCTGGTCACCATCTCAAATATAGATAAGGAGATTTCAGTCTTTGTTATTAGTTATCACTGAGAAAGTGATACT